CACACACACAGACAGACAGACAGACAGACTCACACAGAGAAAGAAAGAGAAAGAAAGAAAAAGAAAGGAAGAAAGAAAGAAAGAAGGAAGGAAAGAAAGAGAGATGAAAGGGAAAAAAAAGAAAAAAGGGACAGAGAGACAAAAGGAAGGAAAGAGAGAGAGAGAGAGAAAACACATGGCCAGCAAGCCACTCCCACCAGGTCACATGGCCGGCAAGCCACTCCCACAAAGGAGGCCACACCCATAGAGTAGGTTCGAAAAAATTTTGAAACCCACCACTGCAACACTGCATGCAATCCGAACTGTTTACACAAATACACACACACACACACACATATACAAACACACACATATACAGCCAAGTGCTAAATCTTAGTGACACAATTGCCAAAACCCAGTCGCAGAGCTGCTCGCAATTCTAAGGGAGGACGCACAACAGTTGCGGTAAAACAGCTTAACTGAATTTAAAAAAACAACAACATTAATTCTCTTACACAACCACCTGCCAATTTAAAGTATGAAAACGTTGGGTCCAACTGCTTTGCATTTTCTTCTCCGTTGAGTTCTTAGCTCCCCTCCTCAAAAAAAAAAAAAATCAATGCTGACCCTTTTCACTGAAAGTTGCCCTGTTCTGACCAAATAGTTTGTGCCGTTTTGCCATCTTTGGGAGCCGCCATCTTCCTTCGAGTCTTTTCTGTAAGCGTCGATAATCTTTTTGTTCTGCTTTTTGCAGCTATTGGACGAGTTGCCCATGATCTACAGTTGCTGCGTTTTTGTCTACTGCTTGTAAGTATCTGTCATCAGTTTCTCTTTCATAAATGAGTAAGGCTTAACGTTTCTCTCACTCACATAGAACATGGGTGCTGAAATAGCTGTTGGAGATACAGTACCGAATCTGCAGGGAGGGACTAGAATTCTCCCATCTCCTGGTACTCGGCCCAGTCACCCAACTGGCTTTCATGGCTAAGGCAAAACTAGAACTCACCATCTCACCATCTCCTGGTGGTTGGCTCAAAATCAGTCAGCCGGCTTACATGGCAGGATTTTCACTGAACTACAACTCACCATCTCCTAGTGATTGACTCAAAGTCACCCAGCCGGCTTTTATAGCTATGGTAGGACTAGAAATCACTATCTCCTGGTGATTGATTCAAAGACATCCAGCTTGTTTTCCTGCCTAAGTTGGCACTAGAACATGCCAACTCCTGGGCCTTGGCCCAAAGTCACCCAGCCATCTTTCATGCCTAAGGTGGCACTAGAATTCACCCTCTCCTGGTTTCTAGCCTGGGACCTAGTTCTAGGCAAGGCGGTGGGGATTCTTGGAAACTACCGAAAATGTCGGTAACTTGTATGTCAATAAAGGAATTGACAATATTTTTCACTTTGTTATTTTTTAAAATAATTTTTAGCCTTTACATTTTTAAAGGTTGAATTTTCCTGCAAATGGAAGTGGCTAGAGCGGATTGAATGCTGATGCGAGACAGTAGTGGGACATGGTGGCTCAGTGGCTAACACGCTGAGCTTGTCGATCAGAAAGGTTGGCAGTTCGGCGGTTCGAATCCCTAGCGCTGCGTAACGGAGTGAGCTCCCGTTACTTGTCCCAGCTTCTGCCAACCTAGCAGTTCAAAAGCAGGCAGAAATGCAAGTAGAAAAATAGAAACCCCCTTTGGTGGGAAGGGAATGGTGTTCCGTGCACCTTCGGCGTTGAGTCATGCCAGCCACATGACCACGGAGACGTCTTTGGACAGCGCTGGCTCTTCGGCTTTGAAACAGAGATGAGCACCGCCCCCTAGAGTCGGGAATGACTAGCACATATGTGCAAGGGGAACTTAGACAGTAGTAATTCTGAGAGAAAAATAAGAAATAATAAGTGGATCATTGAGCCAAGGTGGCGCAGTGGTTAAATGCAGCGCTGCAGGCTACTGCTAGATCAGCAGGTCAGCGGTTCAAATCTCACCGGCTCAGGGTTGACT